AAAAAAAAAACAATAAAAAGCTAAGCAATGAAGTTATACAATTGATGTCTGAATCACCTTACTCTCCACAAGTTACTGAGAAGTAACACCACTGTCTTGAACAATGCCTTCAGCTTGTAAGAAACCAATCAGATGCTTATCTTCCAAATGTTGCTGCCAAAAGATACAATTAAATTTTCACGAAAAGTTGCATGGATCAAAAGCGTGTAAGTAACTAAGTGAAGACCTACAGAAAGGCACTCCCGGTATTTCTGCCACTCAGAAACGCAATCTTGTTTGTCCCAGTGACCCTTCATGAATTTCTCGGCGTACCACCTTGGAAATTGGAATTAGGGTTTGAGGAAAACCAGAGGGGGGGAACAAATTAGGGACAAGAAAGTTTAGGAATGCAACCTGTTGAAGCAATTGTGGTATGCGTCACGAAGTGTGGCACAAAGAGAGGTTGAAGATAAAGATTTGGAGGCTTTCTTCTCCCTCATCTCATGGAAGTACCAATGGCTGCTGGCTGCTGGCTGCTGGCTGCCAACCCTGTTCCTGTCACAAAGATTGGAGCTTTCAGATTAAAGAACGGTTCCACACCTGTATGTGTTCTGTAGTCAGTGTGTCATACTACACTTCAACATATCATAAGGTTTCAATTCTCAACCTTCTGCAACTTTTTTTGTTTTTGAAAATAAGAGGCAAAGACACTCTACTTTCTTGTTCAAGTTTCTAGCTTTAATTTTTGTCATGGTAAGTTTCGCAATAGTAAAAAGGCAAATAAAATGTAATTTTTAATGTTTATTAAATAACTTATTACATACACTTATCAAATACTTTTAATTCTATCAATTAGTTTTTAAGTTTTCATCATTTTAGTCATTAACTTTTTAAATAAATAAGTTTCAACTGGTGTATAAATTCAAATTGAGAGTGTCTGTCCAAATATTAGAATGGATGGAATTTTAGGTGTTACTAGAAAAAAATTACGAGCTATATGTAGTTTGTAAAAAAAAAATCAATTAAAAATTTCTAACATTTTAGTATATAATACATAAAAAAAGACAAATAAATCGGTGAATTCTATTATTTAGCTTCTGCTTGTATCTATAAAAATCATATTATGGATATCTACTCAATTTGAAAAAACCACATGAAAAATACGAAGAATGACGAAAGGAGATTTTTCCTCGAAAAGATTTTTCGCGAAACATAGAGTGGATTAAAAAACAAAACTAATATATATCTATTTTACTATTTTATAATAAATTAAAAACCTAAATATTAATAAAATATTTCAATAATAATTAATTTTACAAAATAATAGACTATGATATATTAATACTTAGTATTACAAAAGATAAACTATAAATATTTATAAATTTTTAATAAATATATTATTAATATTTTATTAATATATACTTATGTTTTAATTAAATAAAAATAATTTGATTTAATATTTTATTAATATATGTTTTATGTTATAATATTTTTGTAAATTAATTAATTTTAATATTTTTTGATTTTGAAATATAACTTTTTCTTATTTATTAATTTTTTCAGTGATTTTTTATTCTAATTTAAATTGTTTAATTCTAATTTGTATTTTGAAAAGTATTGTTTATACCAAATATTTTTTAAATTTTATTTTATAAATTATTTTTTAAATATATTAATATAAAAAAATTATCATTCAAATTTAGTCTCTAATCCAAACACAATATTAAGTTATTGTATAATGACATATTTTAAGTTTGAATTCTTTAAAAAGTACATTTAATATTAAAAATAGTGTCCATATAGAAAGACAAGTTCTATGAAATTGTCCAAATTCGAATTAATAATAATAATTTTATTTTTAATAATAAAATTAATAATAAGTTTGAGCTTTAGTTCAAGTTCCTCAAGCACAATAATGAGACTTGGATCAATATATCTTAGATTTTGAAGTTACTAAAGTAGGGATTGCCAAATAGTTTAAGTCACTATTTTAATTCAATCAGTTAAAACATATTTTAATTCAGTAAAATGCAGATTATGATAGTTTGAACTGGCATAATTATGAATAATTTAGCTTCAAATTATTATTTTTTTCATTTTCATTTCAACGGAACAGAACCAGGAACAATCTCTATAAATACCCCATTTAACCTCAGTTTCCACTCCCAGCATCATCATACAAGCGTGAAATTCTGAGTGACAACAGAAGAAAGAGAGAATGGATCAGTTCAAAGGACAACCTCGTCTTCCAAAATTCGCCGTTCCCAAACGGTACGACATTAGGCTCAAGCCCGACCTCATCTCGCACCGTTTTGCTGGATCGGTCGCCGTCAATCTCGACATCATCGCCCCCACCTCTTTCATCGTTCTTAATGCTGCCGAACTCTCCGTCACCGCCGACTCCGTTTCATTCACCATTGGAGATTCTTCCACGGTTCTCTCTATTATCTTCCCTTGACACCTTGTTATAAATATTTATTTCTCTAGTACATTCAAGATTCATAACTATGCAGCTATTTTATCCATATCTGACAACCTCGTATTATGTTGTGTCCCTCTGTGTGGAGGGTTGTTGCTGATGTAGAACCAACGGATGTTGTCTGTACAGGTTTTTAAGCCTTCGCGAATTGAGTTGGTTGAAAATGATGAGATTCTGGTTCTGGAGTTCCCACAGGAAATACCAGTTGGACTGGGTGTATTGACTATTGTGTTTGAAGGAATCTTGAACGATAGAATGAAAGGGTTCTACAGAAGGTATGTGTTATTGTGGTTTGTTTTGCTTGATATTATACAAGCTGAAGTACTTGAATTCTGGTTGAGGCTGCATTTTGATCGTGATTCTCTGTTATTAAATTTCTTGGCTATCAGTGTATATAGGTGATTTCAAAACCCTAAGGTGTTTAAAAATGTTTGACTAAATTACTTTGCCACTGAGATGTAGTCGGATTACACGCGGTATCCCTTTTTTTATCCCTAAACTAACACCTTAATTATTTGATAAACATTACAATGGAACTCTTTATACATTACGCTAATTTCCTTAATTGTTTAAAAGCGTTACATTGTGTACCTATCAGGAATGTTATTGTAAACCTTAGAAAAGACGGTATCGTTTGCTGTCTGAAAAAGAAGAAAGTAGAAGGTAAAATGAAATGAACTTCTCCCATGATCTAAAATTAACTATGTACTTAACCGTTGTAAAAACTCTTTCATGTAACTTTTAAAAAGCTGTAGTGCATAAGAATATCTTAATGCACGGCAGAAACTCAATTCGTTTTATCATTTTATTTTATTTTTCATCATAGAAGTATTTACGAACAGATTTACCCAAACAGGATCCTAGATCGCCTTACTATTTTTATGAGGACATAGATGGATGTCTTAATCGAGTTTTTGTTTTTAAATTAATTTATATGGATACTTTTTATATGTAGTACCTATGAATATAATGGTGAGAAGAAGACTATGGCAGTTACACAGTTTGAACCGGCTGATGCCAGGCGGTGCTTTCCTTGTTGGGATGAACCTGCTTGCAAGGTTTGAATACCTGTCTCCTTCTCTTCCCTTCTAAATGAACCTTCTGTCAGAACTCACAAGGCTAAAATATTTATTGTTGCAACGGTGCAAGCCAAACACTTCAAATAATAACGTTTTGAGTTCATGTCTTGGGTGGTAAGGGCTACGAGGATGGACAAGTCTGGATGGATTTTGGTATTCAACTTGTTTTGACGAACTTATTTCTTCACGTTGTTTGTTTAATCTTGTAGGCTACTTTCAAGATCACATTGGATGTGCCTTCAGAGCTTGTTGCTCTTTCCAACATGCCAGTTGCTGAAGAAATAACAAATGGAAATCTAAAAACAGTTTCATATGAAGAATCACCAATCATGTCTACATACTTGGTTGCTGTTGTCGTTGGTTTGTTTGATTATGTGGAAGATCACACCTCTGACGGTAAAAGCATGTTTTCTCTTTACATTTTAGGTTTTAGTTGTTTATTACCTTCCCGCTCATAATTGAATTCGACATCTCTACAGGTGTCAAAGTCCGAGTGTATGGTCAAGTTGGTAAGGCAAACCAGGGGAAATTTGCGCTTGATGTGGCTGTGAAAACTTTGGAACTTTACAAAAAGTATGGAACCGTTACAATATTGGCTTCTTAGACAGAAAATTCATTGCAAATAATCCAAGACATCATTTATTTTCAATTTCCATTTTATGGATGCAAATCATTATCATTATAATATAAGTTGACAACCATTTAGCCAAGTAATTTGTGATGGTGTCCTTCTTAAAACTTGAAAGATCTATTAACTCTTAGAAAGATTTGGAATAAAAACTCTCCTCCAAAAAGCACGGGAGTCTTCTGCCATGTAGAAAACAAATAAGAAACTAATGAGTAAAATGAAAATCAAATGGATAAGGTGAGGGATAAGGAAGGACACGCCAACTTGAAGTGATTCAAGGATAGGTGCACGATTCACCACTTAAACAAACTTTCCAAGCTAAGAATCTAAGCTAAGGGTGTCAAACTCTCAAGGGTGTTTTGTATAAAGGAAAAGCCTTCTATTTATAGGTTTAGAAGGCAGGTTACCAAGAAGGTTAAGAGAAGCAAAACAAACCAAGGGTGATGAATTCCATGGTTGCCGAGCATCCCTTTCAATGGATGAGTGAGAAGTGGCAACTTTTTCATAAATGAGGTGATTAAGTTCATAAGCTAGCTTAACTATCAAGTAGTTAAGTTATGTTTGATAAGCACTTGACTCTAGAATATGGTTGATGCTTTAGAAGGAACATCTCCAACATATTTAAGACAGAATTTCTCATTTTACAAAAGATCTTTTGTTCTCTCTAATCTCTTCTTCAGTTTCCTTGGGTCTTTCTATTTTTATGTATTGACTGTCAGTCACATTATCTTTCTTGATTTATCAGTTTATACGGGCAACATAAGTGGCTAATAATTAATTTACATGTTAATCTTCATGCCACTGTTTATCATTCATTACTCGACTAACTGATAATTTAATAGTTACTTCGCTACTCCTTACTCTCTGCCAAAATTGGATATGATTGCGATCCCTGATTTTGCTGCTGGAGCCATGGAGAATTATGGTTTGGTTACATATCGGGAGACTGCTTTGCTATATGATGAGCAGCATTCTGCGGCTGCAAACAAACAGAGGGTACTCTTCTTAACCATGAAGTTTGTCGTTAGTCTTGTTTACTTGGGGCTTCCTAATCTTAATTTCAAAACTACTTATTTTATTATAACTGAAGGACAAAATGTTTTTTTACTGTTAAGGTTGCAACTGTCGTAGCTCACGAACTAGCTCACCAGTGGTTTGGCAATCTTGTTACAATGGAGTGGTGGACACATTTATGGCTGAATGAAGGTTTTGCAACATGGGTGAGAGTTGTACTTATTAGGATAAAAAATATTCCCAATATCTCAATAATTATTAGGAAAAAAAATAATTTTATAATCTTCCTATTATTTTCAACTTGTTTTTATTTTCTTTTTTAAAGGTTTTGATCGTTACATTTGTGTAATTGTTTTCAACAAAATAATTCTTTATTTTCTTACATAGTTGAAGTGTAAGTTGTGTGGATCATACATCCAAAAATTTATTCCATTGCAGAGCTGGTGTTTGGTTTACTGACCTTTATTTCATTTTTTTTAACATTATAACTAGTTAACTAGTTGATATTTTAAATCCTCTTCTCTTCTTTTGGGATGGTC